AGCTACATTCCCAGCCCTTATATCTGGTATTATAAACTATTTAGAGATGATTTAGAGAAGCCAAGAGGATGTATTTAGGTTATATGCAAAGGTTACCACACTTGAACGTTTGTGGAGTTTGGTGTCCATGGCGGTCCTGGAAGCAGTCATTTACAGACACTAAGCCAGCTTTTGTTTTCACTAAGCTCTAACTTAAGAGTTATCCTTTTAATTATAAATATAAGCAAAAAAAATTTAGTATTAGTGGTACCTATGATACTGTCATCAGTGGAAGTCTTTAGACATTTAGTTATTCCAGCTCTCCCAAAATATCATTTAGACTAAATTTAAATTTACAGTAGTGCAATATCTATGTTGTATTCAGAAGACTTGTCACCCCTCCCCTGGGACTATTGACAAGGGATGCTGATTGGAGGAGCAGTGTCACTCCTTTAAATGATGTAGCCACAGATGAGCTGTCCTTGCTGTATTCACAAACTTCCCATTCATGCTTGGGCAAGGAAATCCAATTAAACTCAGTGGACTAAACAGAAAAAAGAAGCCATAAAAACAAGGAGAGGGCCTCTTTGAGAAGAAGTGCTAATGGAAGATGGAAGGGGATGAGAAATGTATGGATTTGTCAAAAATAAAAATATTCTAAAAATAAATCACAGTAGTAATTATTAAGACCCAATACTCGATAATGCGAGGTAACTTAATATGGTATATAAGTACACATTATTAAATTTGACATCTGTTTCAATATAAATTGTCTCCTTGTATTTATTTTATGCCTTTAGAAATATTCTGATACGTGTTCCATTGGCTTTGCTAGATTGGCAAGAATGGTATCTGACATAAAAAGGTCAAGAAATGCCCTCTTTTCTCTCTATGTGTACTGTGTTCAGGCTGCCTGTGCCTTCACCCCCGTACCATCCATGAAGCCTTGTGCATGCTGGATAACTGCTCTACCACTGAACTGCATCCTTACCCCTATATCCGTCTATTTTATAGCCTCTTATTTGATGGCTATTTATGTAACCAGCATTTTCTTGTGCCAACTTAGAATTACGGAGATGTAATTCTAGAGTGCTCACCATTACACCATAGAACCACACAAGATGTAATTCTAAATTACAAATAAATATTGAGATGCGAATAAACCACTGTATTAGAAAGGCCACTATCCCTTGCTCATATATTCCCTCCTCCTCTCTTCTACTGGATTTCTGCAGCTTTTTCTAGTGTTTGGCTGTGGATCTCTGCATCTGCTTCCATCAGTTACTAGATTAGATGAAGGTTCTATGATAACAGTTAGGGTAGTCACCAATCTGATTACAGGCAAAGGCCAGTTCAGGCACACTTTTCACTATTCCTAGGAGTCTTAACTGGGGTCATCCTTGTGGATTCCTGAAAATATCCCTAGCACCTGGTTTCTCCCTAATCCCATAATGGCTCCCTCTATCAAGATACCTCTTTTACTGCTCTCCCACTCCATCCCTCCCTCAGCAGGGCCATCTGGTTTCCTCACATTCCCATCCCCCATCTCCTCCCTTTTACCACCCCTAGGACCCCAGTTTACCCAGGAGATCTCATCTAATTCCCCTTTCCCAGGGCGATCCTTTTGTCCCTCTTAGTGTCTGTCTTCTTTGTTACCTCCTTGGTCCTGCCTCAACTCAACTGCCAGGGTTTGTTTACTCCCTGTGGGAGGCCTTACCCTTTCTGAGGAGTGAATTGGAGGTGGGCTGGGGGAGGTGAGGGGGCATGGGAGGAGGGGTGGGAGGGAGAATTGTGGTTGGAATGTAAAATGAAGCATATATATGAAGAAAGGCCACTATCCTCATTCCTCTCTTAGTCACTGCTTTTTTTTTTAATTTTTTGGTTTGCTTGGCGTGTGTGTGTGTGTGTGTGTGTGTGTGTGTGTTAGGTGTATATGCATGCTTGTGTGGGTATGTGCATGTATAGAGGTGACTTGCTCTCTCACTGTTTTATTTTATTTGTACGAAAAGGGCTCTCCTGCTGAAACTGGGGCTTATTGATTGACTAGGCTGATGAGCCATCGAGTTCCAGGAATCTGCCCCCCTCCACCCCTTGCAGTGCTGGGACTGGAGACACGCACCACTAATACCAGCTTTTATGTGGGTGCTGAGGATTGAACTCAAGTCCTCATAATTGCACAGCGAGAATTCTGCTCGCTGATCCATTTCCTCATCCCCATTGGATAGTTTGCTGTCACTTTTCATCCAGCACAAGGTGACTTGAGGTCGTATTTAGCATGGCAGCCCTTTCCCTACAAATTCTAGCCCACTGGACCTTTTTCTCCATACTGTGTGAGGACTCATTACTATAGGAAGCCTAGGGTAGCACCAAGTAAGGTGGCTAACCTCGCCTTACTCACAAGGCCCTTGATTTACTTGTTCCTACCTTCAGGGCCTTTCCTGTTTCATTGTCCATCCTGAAATAGACTTCCTCCCTGAATCTCTGGTGAGATTTATTTACAAAGGTATTCCTTGGGTCTGGTATTTATCAGAATTCTTTAGCTGGCAAAATGGTGTCTGTTTCCAAGTTGGTGCTACCAACTTTTGTGCTTGGAAAAAGCCCAAAGTTACAAAGACTTAATAAGATTTAATATTATACCTATTCCATGGGGATTTACATCTTTGGCAATTTTATATTTTGGTTTTTCCTCAATAATGTGATTTTTTTATAATTTAAACAAGGGAGAAAACACAAAGCCTAACTAGCACTAGGATATTATTCCATTTATCTATCTATCTATCTATCTATCTATCTATCTATCTATCTATCTATCATCTATCTATCCATCTTATGAAGCTGAACTTATATAGTATATGAAATATTGTTTATAATTTATAACATGTGTATGTGTAACATGGAAGCACGTGGAGTTCAGAGGACAATCTCCAGAGTTGGTTCTATTCCTCCATGTGTGTCTGAAGGCTTCAGTTGAGATCATCGGCTTGATGGCAAGCACCATCTTTAATAGCCTAAAAGCATGAGATTTTATAAAGTCTGGACACAGACCTGTATTCAGACTTCCACTTACTAGCATTATGTATATGCATCTGTGATATAATATAAGAATATGCTAATATTTTTTTATTTAAAATATTTTTGGATTAAAATATACTTAGATCATTCCACCCCTCCCTCTTTCCTCCTGTCTGATAGTTTGGTCAGTGCCTGGCTCCCTCTCTTTGTGGTCGCACGTTTCTGTTGTCCACACTCACCTCTGCTGATGCCCCCGTCCTCTCCTGTGCCCGGAGAGAACAGTGAGATACAAATACAGGAACTGTTAGCAGACCGAGGCAGTATATAGAACAACACACTTCACTATTAGAATGATCCTTAATCATTGCTTTGATGTCTGTCTGCCCTTGTGCAGATGAAGGAAACTAAGGCCCCCCAAAAAAGATAAGAACTATTCATGTTGGTAAATTGAGACCATTATGCTGCTAGCATTGGCACCCAGTTCTAAATTTGTTTTTAGTTTTCCAAACTTTCATGTATATAAAATCATATTTGTGTGTGTGTGTATAAACTCATGTTTGTGTGTGGACACCTTGTATACATGCACACACACTTTGATTATATTCTTCATGTTGTCCTTTCTTATCCTCTTTACCTTCAATAGTTTATTTTTGTGCTCTACTGCATTTAATTAGGGTTTCTTGCATGAGCACATGTTGGAGGTTATTTACTTGAGCAAGTACAACTTGCCAGTGGCTGCACCAGAATGACCCCTCCCCCTGCAACAGCTAATTGCCTAGAGCTCCTGGGGGGGGGAGTTGGAGTTGCCTTAGCTACCTCCCTATCCCTGCTGATGTGCCCAGTATTGTGCAGGTCTTGTGGAATGTGCTCAGTATTGCTGTGAGTTCATAGTTGCAGCTGCCATGCCGTATCTAAAAGACAGTGTTTACAACACTCCTCTCCAGCCTCCAGCACTTCGTACCATTTTCTGTGATGTTCGCTAGGCTTTAATTTGGAGTGGGTAAATGCAGGGCCAAGCACTTAAAAACCATTTAGTCTCAGCACTTTGACCAGCTCTGAGTCTGTGTTAACTGAAAGCTATTGCAAAAAGAAACTTCTTTAAGGTTCAGAGTGAAGCTAGTCTATGGATACAAGCACATGTTTAGAGGCCACTTTGACTACATGGCTATTAAGTAAATCAGTAGTAAGTAGTAGGTTCCTCACTAAGGCGTATGACCTCCCCAGTCATGGGCTTTTGAGCGGGTTTACAGTATTGAGCATGGCTTCCCTCCTATGGAGTGGGTCTCAGAACCCACTTTCAAACAGAAAGTGGTTGGTTACTTCCATGGCTCTATTTCAGTGGCTCTCAACCTTCTTAATGCTGCAACTCTTTAATACACTTCCTCATGTTGTGGTGACCCCCAAACAGAAAATTGATTTCATTGCTACCTCATTACTATAATTTTGCTCCTGTTATGTATTGTAACATAAATGTTTGCGTTTCCTGATGGTCTTTGACCCCTGTGAAAGTGTTGTTGAACCCACCAAAGGGGTCATGACCCCTATAGGTTGAGAACCGCCACATCAGTGGCACCTTTTGCTTGCAAGGTTGCTATTGTAGCTTGGAAAGTCCACAGCAGAGAACCCAGTATTGTTTTTTAATTTTACCTTGTTTCTTCAACTATCTCCTAGTGCCATAGACAAGCCAGGCTGTAGACCAGAGGTAGGGAAGAGAATGCGGTGACCTGGAAATGGCTGAAAGAAATATAAACAATATTTTCTTCCTCTTTGTAACATACTGATTTACATTCGTGTTTGCCTCTTGGTGAAGCAGCGTCTCTGGCTGTGTTTTTATCTTCAGTAATGTGGTTGCGAATATGGTTAGGATATGACTTATGTCAATATTTTACCTTTCTCCACACCATTTTCTTATTTACTCAGCTTCTTGGCATTTGGATTTTTTTCCTTCAAAGTTGAACAGAGACATTTAAAGCCAAGGAACTAATTTGCTTTCTTTCATCTCATCTTAGATCAGTGTGCGTGTGACCACCATGGATGCAGAGCTGGAGTTTGCCATTCAGCCGAACACCACTGGCAAGCAGCTGTTTGACCAGGTAAGGGAGGCCTTGTTCCTTAACCACCTCTTTTGCTGGTAGGTCTCATCACAGTGCGGACTACCTACTCCTGTGTTATGGAAAAGGTCTCTTTTTCTACTTGCCCTTCCAAGGAAGGTAAAAACAAAGGCTGATTCCAGACTTGATTAAAAAGGAGGCAAAGTATAATTTTGGCAACTGAAATCTCAATCTCACTGCCCTAATAATCCTATCCTTGATCCTGAACAAAGGAGACAAGAGACTAGGAATGTTATTCTATGCTAGATTTGTTGAAAAGATGAATTTATTTTCTTTCAACTTTGAAAGATATTTATGTCTGTCTGTCTGTCTATCTATCTATCTATAGACAAGTCTCTTTTAAAAAGCCCAGGGTGTCCTTGAAGTTACTACCTAGCCTAAGCTGACTTTTAACTCAAAGTCTGTATTCGCCAGCTTCCCAAGTGCTGGGATTATAGATAAGTGTGTCTCTCCATGCCTGCAAGTTCCCCTCTTACTTCCATAAGCAGACTGTGGCATGCGTGCCCATGTACATACACAAATATGAAAGAAAGGGGGAAAATTCATCTTTATATGCCTTTTGTTTTTATAAAAATGTAATATTATTTATATCTTTACCATTATCCAAAAAACCCTGATTACTGTGACATATAAGGTTGCACAAAATACCAGATCAGAAATAGACAAGACAATAAGAAAGCCCAAATATCTTGGAAGAAAGCATTATGTACAAAAACGTGGCAGAGTAATAAATGATGGGTCCCCTTCTAATACTATGCTTTTTGTCTCATTTATGAACTAGAATTGGGAGAGAGGCTTGATGATCTAATTTTGGATTTAGTTGGAACTTATTCCTTCTCTGGAGTTTGTTTTGTGTTTTTGTTTTGAACAGTGTAGGGTAATCACTGATGGTTAATTTGTGAAAATACAAGTTAGTCTGAGGAACTTTGAAACACCTAAGTAATGTTTTGACATTCCCTTAGCTCACAAGTAATTACAGTACTAGTCTGCAATGACTAAATGCATTTTGATTATATTAAGGTTTTCATGTGGGTTCTATATTGGAGAGCTTTTAAAGGGACAGCCTAATGAATTGGCAAGAACACTAGCTTGAAAGTCAGAAATTCTGATCTCTAGAACTGGCTTTGCCACTAATTTCTTGCTTCCTGCAAACATTTCTTTTCTTCAAGGCCTCGGGTTTTCAAGCTGTACATGTTTCCTCAAATTTGGTTGTCTCTCAAAAATTTATTTCTGCCCCTTTTTTGACACATCTGCTTCTCTCCCTTCTGTATTTTCATTGTTCAGATGACCCTTTTCTGTAAAAAGAAAGGAAATGCCACATTTGAGTTGGTAGGAGAAGGCAGCTGGCAGAACATCACTTCTGGATTGGCTTCTAGCAGTCCATGAGACAAACATGAGGAGACCACATAGACTCCTGGGTCACTTGTTTTAGATAGTAAGGTCTGAGGAAGAGGTGCCGCGGGGAGAGTATCAGTCATGGTGGATTTTACTTTGACCTCTGCTTAGACTCCATCCAGAGTTCTGATTCTACTCATCTCCCAAACCAAATGCTCCTCCTTCCTGCTCTTACCACTGGGGTTTGTCCTTTTGCTTTAAAGGGGCTGGCTGATGAAGACACGGCTTAGAGTCTGGGGCAAAAAATAATCTGTGGGTCAAGCTTTATTAATTTCAAAATGCCTCTACTTGGTAATTTATTATTAGTATTGATTTGCTTTATGCACTGTGCATGTAGTTCCATGGGAGGCTACTATGGCTACGAGCCCTGGGCAGATTGGAATGGTAAATTTTTGTCGGGTGTGGGGGGTTCTTAGTATATAACTCTGGCCGAACTGGTACTTGTTATGTAGTCCAGGCTGCCTGGAACTCAGAGCAATCTCCTGCCTTAGCCTCCTGACTCCTGGAATTACAGACGTATGCAAGCATCCCTGGCTAGCATGCCGCTCTTAAGGTTATTGCCTCCCACACAGAGCCCTGAAGAGATTTTGATCTTTCATAATCATTGAGAAAAGGAATGAGAGAAAACCCGGATGATTTATCACCCAGACAAACAGTGTCTTGAGAAGCATATTTATGAGCACCTACAGTAGATTATCCCTGGTAGGTGCTTGAGCTGAAATTTCATTCAGATTAGAGTGACTCTGAAGTTGAGTGTGGTAGCCTGTATTCCCTGAAGACCCAGGCAGGAGGATCAGGAGTTCAAGGCCCTTCTCGAGAGTATAGTGAGTTTTAAATGAGGCCAGCTTGAGCAACAGGAGATCCTGTCTCAACAGATAAATGAAAAAGTGACCTTGAGTTCTATTATACAACATGCTGACTATTATTAGCACATTATATTCTTTAAAAAAATGGTGAGTTGGGTTGGAAGTGATAAACATGTGAGGTTTTACATATAACTGGGTTCCTTAATCATCACGATGCTCCTGTCCCTAAGAGGAAACAATCATACCTTGGTATGTTGGAATATGAAGTTTCAAATGCAGTTCTGAACAGTCATACTTTTCTCCCACTGCACTGCACTGTGTGGAGCGAATGAGGGCGTTAGAGCTTGGGGATGTCTCAGAGAAGATGTGTTTTCTATCCGTAGGTCCCCTGACAGGCTACCAAGGTAAAAAGAACACAGCCACTCTCTGTGAGGTCAGAAGTATCAGAGCTGTGATATCGTCGGTGAAAATTGTCGGAATAAAGTATCTGAACTTGACAAGATACTAAGCAGCTGTCTGTCTGGAGATAGAGAATGAGGATGCACAGGTGGTGGGAGGATGTGAGCTCTTCCCTTTCTGTAGCTTGATAAAGCCCAGGGAAGAAATCCATTCTATCTGACTTTGAGACCCATCATTCAAGGAAGCTCTTCTGCCGGAGCTGGGGCTTGAAAGGAATTGAATAACGCTCTAGGGCTATTCTGGAACTCAGCAGGCTTCTGACCAGAGAGGAAGTAAAATAAAGAGGAAGCATATATCTTGGCACTGGGTGATAAATAAAAGCAGTGGGAAAGCGTAGCTTGAGGAGGCCCAGGGCCTGGTGGGAAATAGGAATGGGGCCCACAATTGCTACCACTTACTTCGGTTTCTTTTTTGTGAGTGTGCTCTCTGCCAGGAAAGAGAAAGAACACGTTTTGCTTCAGGCATGCGGCACTTGCTTGCTTTAATCTCTTAAGGCAGATTCTTCAAATGGCTTCTTCTTGAATTTTGTACCGGCCACTAGGTGGCAGGGCCACCACTATGAATAAGACTAGGTTTGCCTTTTGAGATTATAATATAATTACATTTCTCCCTTCCCTTTTCTCTCTTGTACAAACCTTCCCGTATACCCCTGCCCACTCTCCTTCAGATTCGTGGTCTCTCTTTTTCACTAATTGCTATTGCACATATATATGTATATAGAAATCCTGCCTGGCATCTCAGCCATTCTAATAATTGATCTTTTAAAAAGCCAAACGTATGTGGAATGTCCTGGGAGTTCAGTTGTGGGAACCGTAAAAATCACAAAGCTTTCTGATTCAGTAAGGTACTTGTGACTGGCTGACTTTGCATTAGGACTTTTCTGGTTTTTTTTTAATAGGACGATTAACATCTATTATGACACTAATATGAGTAGCAACCCCGTTCTACAGATGAGGAATTGAGGCTTAGTGAGGGGGAATGTTCTGCTTAAGGTCACGTAGCTCTAAGGAGTGGTATAGCTCAAGCTTGAACCTGGGAAGACTCTACTGTTTCTCAGTGCCTTCTGTCAACTCTGCCCTGTGTGAGCCCCCTTTGTTTAGCCTCTGCCCTAAACAGAAGCTCAGCTCAGTGACATCTGTTCTGTGAAGAAGACGCTCACTGGAACACAAGCTGTGTGGAGCAGAAGAAGCAGAGGTTGTGGTAGCGTCTTACAGATTTTTCCAGTTAAATATTGATTTGCTTTTAGATGGGTGGCGATGCAGCTGCTGCCAAGCCTGTAATAGAATCTTAGTGCACCTCAGATGTCTGGGCTTTGATGCAGTTTTGCACGGAATTTTTCATGCTGTATTTTTCTTAAGGCTCTGGCCTTGCTTCTGATGCAGCTCTGGGCTTCTGAGATGGCTCACGATGCCGCCGGTTTCTTACAAAGATACACGAGGAAGGTGGCACTGACTCTTGAATTGATTTCTGCAAGTAAAAAAAGAGATGAAAAGGATTCTGTCTTATCCCCCGAAACGCCTAGAAATTAGCAACGATTTTCTTAGAGGCAAATCTCTTCCTTTTATTGGACTTCAGTGTTCTTTCCTGGTAGTTTTTCTTATTATCATCTGTAAATTGCACATAATAATTGCTTTTCTTTTTTGTTGATATTTTTTGAGACAGGGTTTCTCTGTCCTGGAACTTTCTCTATAAACCAGGCTAGCCTCAAACTCAGAGATTTACCTATGGTCCCCTTGAGTGCAAGGTTTAAAGGTGTGCACCACTATGCCCAGCACAATAACCATTCTTAATGTGTTTTGGTATATTCACCCCTCCCTTATTCCCACTAGTCCTGCTGCTGGTCTCTTTCCTCCTCCCAGCTGTCCCTCTTCTCCTTTCCTGTCTGTCCCTGCCCCTAACCAGTGAGATTCCTTAGGGCCATTTACAGAAGCCTGGGTACTAACCAAACTGCCTGTAGATCTTCAGGAATGGGTGTGGCATCCCAAAGCCCTTTCCGTGACAGGATCCTAGCTCAGATCTTCCAGAGGTCTCATGTGGGTAGTCACAGCTGCTGTGCCTTCCTGACTGCCCTGACCAAAGCTGAGAGCAGTTGTTGTTATGTGTTGGGGATATGCACTTCATTTAACAGCAATTTGATAGGCACATCACTGGACTTCATTTTACCAGCCTACGCTGTGTTAGCCCTGCTTCCTCTCCACAGTCTATCTGGGGGAAGAGTGCAGAGAACAGAACAGAATTCACAGTTTCTATCGAGGCTTTTTTTTTCTTATTCTGCCAAAATGTGTTTATTGGGATAGCTTCCCACTCATCTTGATTCATTATGCTTTTAGTGGACCTCTCAATTCCACCATACCCCTAGGCCTCTTTGGTTATGATGGTCAACTGCTTAAGGGTTTTTGTTTTGTTTTGTTTTGGGGTTTTTGAGACTGGGTTTCTCTGTATATCTTTGGAGCCTATCCTGGATCTGTCCTCGTAGACCAGGCTGACCTTGAATTCACAGATATCCATCAACCTGTGCCTCCCAAGTGCTGGGATTAAAGGTGTTTAAGGGTTTCTTAAGGGCAATTTTGAGAAATACTAGCATAGGTCATATGAGCAGGGTGTTTGCTACCAAAGGGAGCAATTTTTTTTCCCTCAAGCATTATAAGGACTCTACTCACTGGATCCAGAGAGGTTTGTTCCTAAAACAAAGAGCTAGATACTTCTCTCGAACTTGAAAAGCAGGACCTTTCCTACCCCAAGCCCTGGCCCACTTTGACTAGAGGTCTTGGCTACTATAGGAATTCGAAATGAGTAATTCTGTCCTCAATTTCCTTGTTCTTGGAATTGGAAATAGATCCAGGAGTTGCCTGACCAAATGGCCCCCATCACTCCCTGGACCTTAATTGGAGATTTCCTTGTAGCCTGGAGGCACAGGTCATTTCTTTTGTCTTTGTTTTTTTCAGTATCAATTCTGACTTCAGACTGCATTTCCTTCCTCCCATATCCTCACGTTGGAACTTTAGCATAGGTTGAGAGACTGCTCATCTCTCCAAGCTCAAGAGCTTAAGGAAGTGGAAAATTCATATCATTTTGATTTCCCTATGCTCACAAAAGAAGAGGCAGTGTTCATATCAAAATCCCCTTCAGTCCTAGGTTTTCTGAGCTGCCACAACTGGCCTCTTGGTTTAGGTTAAGGCCAACTGTTTCTTTATCACTTTCTCTCTTGCTCTTCTGTCCCACTCCCCCAGTACCTAGGCATGTTAGCCCTATGGTCTGTACTGTCTTCAGTGGGTCTTTTTTCTCTCCAGAATCTGAATGTTTATGGAACTTTTCTCCTTCCCACCAGTTGCATTTCAGTTATAACTCTGAAACTACCGGGAAAAGTCAGAATTATTAGTTGGGTCCTGTGTTAAATGTAGGATGAGAAAGAGCTTTTTTTTAAAAAAGAAAAATCTTCCCATACCCATCCTTAGGTGTGAGATCATTTAACAGTTATTCTCCCGACTAGATAATGAGGAAGTTGGGGCCAGCCAAAGAAATATACGGGCTGCAAATGAAAGACAGAAGATTTTTGTTCATATTTCCTGATACGTGACATCAAAGTATAAAGAGAAAGTGTGACATATTAGGGACACGATTTCTCCTCAGAGTGATTATTGTACGAGATGGGAGAAGGTGTTGATTTGTTTATTAGAAAGAACATTGGTGACTCTGGGTCCTTGTTTTTATCTCTAATTAAGTCTCATAGATTTTCTGCTCACTGCATCCTAAAGATTTATTTGCATCCATTTATATCCAGACTAAAAGATGAGAACTGTCTGATGTGGCTCTCTCTAGTGCTGAGTGTGCCGGTGTGGAGACTGCACCTGGACCATCAACATGGCGTGCTAGAGTCAGGGCCCAAGAACAGACTCCATCATTACCCAGGAACAGCATAGCTTTGGGGTATGGGATGCTTGTACACTGTGCCCCTTAATTTGTCTTCTCAAGTGTTCTTCCTTGGGATATTGCAAGAGACTTTGTCTTAGATATTGAAATGACTCCCACTTTCTAAATAGAAAGGACAGTTATGAAATTTGAATTAATGACATTAATGACTGTCAATTCAGTCAATTATAATGAAGTAGTTTTTTTAACAAAACTAAAAAAAGCCTGAGTTGGGAAGCTTCTAGGTAGCTGGACAGGAAGAAGTTGCTGAACAGACATGGGATCCCTGCCCTCCTCCAGTTGCATGTCTGCACCTTTTCTGTCTGTTCATCTGAGTCTTTTTAAGTGCGCCTCCTTTGGTAATTTGAGACAGACATTTACCAGGAACTTGCTATGTAGACAAAGCTGTTCTTGAATTCACAGAGACCAGGGACCAGTCTGCCTCTGCCTCCCGAGTGCTGGGATTAAGCACAGCCCATGCCCCTACTTTTGGCACAGGCTCTCATGTAGCCCCAACTGGGCTCAGACTCTGTGTAACCAAGGATGCCAACACTGAACTTCTGATCCTTCTGCCTCCGCTTTCTCTTGAGGACTGGGATTACAGGCATGCATTACAATTCCCAATGTAATATCCTTTAGACTAAATAGAAAATCAGAAATAGCAAGGAACACATGAGAGTACCTCAGAAGGATATGATACAGGACTTAACCCAAGAATCTTTGTCTACAGCCTCTAATCCATTCTGGGAGCCGACAGCTGTATAGCGTTGTTGGAGAAGGCAGTGGTAGAGAATTGGCTTGATTTAGAAATATGACAATTTAAATCTTGCCTTTGTCACTTCTTATCTGCACCTTGGGCATATCGTTTTATTTCTGGGCTTTTAATATTACTATCTGTAAAATGCACATCACCTACTTCTGTCATAGGGCTCTTTTGAGAACTGAAGATGATAATGCATGTAAGGTTATTGATGTGGACCAGTGTTCACAGTAGTACTTAGTGGGGAAAGAAGCTGATAGCAATTCTTTCTTTTTCCTTTTTTGTTGTGTATTAAGCTTATGTTAATTGTAAAAAATAAGGGATTCGTTACATTTTCATACACGTGTATTATATTTTAATTACAATGACCCTCCTTTCATCCATTGGTCCTGGTCCCTTTTCAAAATAGTTTCCTTTCTACTTCCATGTTCTTTTTTTTTTTTTAAACTAAACTCCTTATATGACATTAATTCCTTTAAAAATACATTTTCTTAATTATTTAAGAAGTGCATACATGTATGCAATGCATTTTGATCATATTTACCTTCCTCCAGCTAAGTTTAGACCCTCTCCCCCCAATTTTATGTACTCATTTTTTTTAACCCACAGAGTTTAGTTAGTCTTGCTAGTACTTTCATAGGTATAGAGCCATTCTCTAGGGTACAGGAAACCTACTAAAGGTTTTCTACATCTCTGAAGAAAATGGATCCCACTGCTCCAGAAGCCATCAATTGCCAGTAGACATTAGTTCTTGACAGCTGCTCTCCAGACTAGCAGTACCTTAAACCCTTTTAGGGTAAATTAAGTTCCTTCCAGTTTTCTGTTCCTCGATTCCTGGCACAGAATAGCTATTAAACCGGTGACTGTTTTGTTTTTTCCAGGTGGTGAAAACAATTGGCTTGAGGGAAGTTTGGTTCTTTGGTCTTCAGTACCAGGACACAAAAGCTTTCTCGACTTGGCTGAAACTCAATAAGAAGGTAATCACTTACTGATCTGTCAGAAGTTCTTCCAGCTACTAACATATGCTAGTTAGCAAACCCAAGATCCTTACTCAGTAATATATTGAACAAAACAAGGAAGGAAACAGTGTTTAGAGTCCTAGTTTAAAAAGTTATCTGGCCGGGCGGTGGTGGCGCACGCCTTTAATCCCAGCACTCGGGAGGCAGAGGCAGGCGGATCTCTGGGAGTTCGAGGCCAGCCTGGTCTACAAAAGCTAGTTCCGGGACAGGCACCAAAGCTACAGAGAAACCCTGTCTCAAAAAAAAAAAAATAAAATAAATAAAATTTAAAAAAAGTTATCTGGAGGGGAGCAACCAGACTTAGTCAGCTGTCCTAAGTCAGATATGTCCATTTTTATGTAGGATTGTGTTTTCTCAGGTCTGCATGGCTGGTATTGGAGCTTCCAGAACTCCCACCCTCCTTTTGTATTTAGAGAAAGGGTTTCTTGTTGTAGGCTGATCTCCACATATAGGCTCCACACATAGCAGACGGTGACCTTGAACATCTGATCTTCCGTTTTTTTTAGAGTGTTGGAATTATAGATAGCCCAACACCATGCTCCCCCTGATTACTTTCAACAAAATAGAGGCAGAGGACTCAACTGAGGGAAGGTTGCTGAGTTTCCACTTTGAATTCTGAGCAAGATGGCCACGCCAAAAGGAGTGGAGATGATTCTTTATTTTAGACTTGTTGCAGACCTAAGCTTTTAGTGGTTTAAGGTGTTGAGATCCCTTTCTCAAAGCCTGTAATTTGTAAGAAAGAGCCCAAATACCGCCCCATGTAATGTCTGCAGATAACTAGCAGACTTTTCTCCCTATACCCCCAAACTGTTTGCCATTGACCCTAGAGGTCTCAATACTGTGCTCCAGCTTATTTTCCTGATTGTATCTAGAGGTGGGTCTCACTTCTGCTCCAAAGCTCTTGTTCTATTAAAGAATGGAGCTTTGTAAAATTACATTTATTTACTATGTCTGTGCATGTTTATGTGTGTGTGCATGCACGTCATGGGAGCCATGCCAATCCTCTCTTCCATTTTGTTGTTCCTTAAGATCTAAATGAGGTCATAGCCTTGGAAACAAGTGTCTTTACCCTCTGAGGCATGCCGGTGGCCGCAGCAGTAGCCACTTTTGCTGGACAAATTAGGAATGATTTTTCAGGCTTTTGCACAGTCATCTGGTGGCTGTCTAACCTAGCCAATTCTGTAGCTTCGACCAGATTTGCTCATCTCCAGTAGTTTATAGCGTAGGAGAATAAGATTCCCCAGTGAAAGTAATGCAGTGCTTCGGTGTTTTAGTTTTAGTTTAGTTTTGTTTCGTTTTAAATCACGAGGAGAGTGGCCTTCCAGCCTTGGGAGATTACCTGAACTTAAGCTCTCTCAGCGCTCCTATCATTCCCATCACAGACTCGCTCCCATCACCAGAGTCTATTGTTCGAGAGCCTCTTATTACCTCCGTGTTCCTCCCAGGTGACTGCACAGGATGTGCGGAAGGAAAGTCCACTGCTCTTCAAGTTCCGGGCCAAGTTCTACCCAGAGGATGTGTCTGAGGAACTGATCCAGGACATCACCCAGCGCCTGTTCTTCCTGCAAGTGAAGGAGGGCATTCTCAATGATGACATCTACTGCCCACCTGAAACTGCTGTGCTCTTGGCCTCCTATGCCGTCCAGTCTAAGTACGGTGACTTCAATAAGGAAGTGCACAAGTCTGGCTACCTGGCTGGAGATAAGCTGCTGCCCCAGAGGTGAGTTGGTACCCTGGTCTTCTTTGACCTAGCTAAAGTGGGTCATGGGTAACAACCAAACACTGGCTAATTCCCACTCCCTATGGGGTGCCAGAGAAGTTTCTTTTCACTAGGTTTTGTCTAAACACTGCTGTGCTGCTCAGAGACACATTTGCATATAGTCTTATATCCTATTGTATTTCTGGTCTTCAAAAAGCGTTTTTCCCCTTTGTCTCCCTGATTTCAAAGCTTCATTACCCTGGAGATCGGCGCTTACATAGAACCAAAGATGGGTTAATTTGTTTTGTCCTCCCCTGTTTCCATTTCTTTTGCACTGATGAGATTTTATTTTAGAAATTCACAGGAGAGAGAGAGAGAAATAGGCAAGCCACGGGTACCATTCTATACAGTGTTCTGATTTTGCAAACTACAAAGGTGAAAGCTCATAAACACTTAATATTTTTGTTTTAACATCATGACAGTGCCAAATAAACAAGGCAAGAGGTTTCCTTATTTTCTGGCTCAGGAAGGAGAAATACAGGGGTACTCGTTCTGATTCGCCCCATCTCCCACATTTGAGCCGGAACTGGCCTGAACCCCCAATGTATTGATGATTCTTTTTTCAACCTCGAAGGTTTTGTTTCATTTTGCATCAGATGGCTATTTATTTCCATAAGCCTTTGGATTAGAGCAGGAGAAGAAAAGTGAAGCAAGCCTGACTCAGGGATCCCTAGTGGAATTGGTGCTGTGGTCTGTGCACACACCATCAGGAGATCTTAGGGATAGGAATTGTGTCCCTGGAAACTTTTGTGGTCAGGGCCACAATGTCCAAGATGGCGTATTTAAAGCAGGCCTTGTTTAATAATCTGGTAGAATGATGGGTCAGACCTCTTGGTTCCTTCAGAGTAGTTTGGGGCTAATTCCCTGCACAGTACACAAAACTGTCTCATAAACACCAAGGGGATGCAGGAGAGAATATCTCTGCCTGTCTCTGCTGTTAGCCACTTAATATGGACTCCTGATGCATTATTGTTGAGTTTGGGGATGCAACACATTATTAGCTTTTTGGTTGAAGGAAGAAAGAGGGCCTAGCCTTTAATACCAGCACTTGGGAGGCAGAGGAAGGGGGAGTTCTCTGAGTTTGAGGCCAGCCTGGTCTACATAATCAGTTTCGGGACAGCCAGAGCTATAAAATAGAGAAACCCTGTCCCAAACAAACAAACAAATAGATGAATCCTGTCTCAGGTAGGTAGGTAGGTAGGTAGGTTGGCAGGTAGGTAGGTAGATAGATAGATAGATAGATAGATAGATAGATAGATAGATAGATAGATAGATAGGGAATTAACTTATGAATGAATAAAGAGAATGATCCATTGTCCTGTTTGGTCTTCTGTTCTTGGAGCTCTTATTTTAGGAAGTCCCTTAGGTCTGTTTAGGTATGTTCAACTCTCATTGTCTGTATGAATTCAGCAGGACCTCAGTGGTCTAACTTTATATTTGCATCAACTCTATAGAGAACTGAGTGCGCTTCCCTTCCCTCCTGTCTTTTGTCTGCAATTTTTTTTTATCATTCATTGTCTTTCTAGAGTCTTGGAGCAGCACAAACTCAACAAGGACCAGTGGGAAGAGCGGATCCAGGTGTGGCATGAGGAACACCGAGGCATGCTCAGGTAAGCCTCGCCTACCAGCTGTGAGCAAGAAGGATGAGGATGAGGCCTACAAAGAAGAGGCAAATGATTAGGGAAGTTGGTGCATTTTAAGAAAGAGAGAGAGGAATGATTTTGGGACTTAAATATTGAAGGCAAACTTGAATCCTTGTAAGACTGTAATTTAGATTTAGGCTTTTTTTTTTTAAATTTACAAGATCAAAATTTTAATGTAAAGGACTTTAACTTGAAAAGATCATTAATTATCAAATCAGGGCTTCATCTTTTGTTTTTTATTTTGCATGTGTGTGTATATATATATGCGTGTGTGTGATACATGTTGTGTGAATGTGGGTATGTGTCAGAAGGATATAGAACAACCTTCATTTTCATCTTGCTTCCTCTGCATCTGGGTGGCAACTGACTTCCCTCTTCCCAGAATTCTCCTAGTCTGGTTGCCCTGCCTATATTTTCTGCCTGGCTCCTGGCTAATCAGTGTTTTGTTAAACTAATACAAGTGACAAATCTTTGCATTGTATAAGAGCATTATCCTTCAGGAACACTCTCTAAATATTGTAGAAGAATTTGATGGCTGAGGAACAAATCTCATTTTACTGTCATCACTCTGTCTCAGTTCTGCTAGGAAGGCGCTTCTATACAAAGATGTCACAATGCAAAGGAGGGAGAACATAACTTCTGTAGGGTTAGTATTCCAGAAGACAAGGGACAACTTCTCCTTGTCCTTTGGGTTCCTATCGGCAGTTTTTGTTTAACAGAAATCATGTATATTCCTGTTACTCATCATTTGCTTACAGTCTGTTTCCCAATCCTACTTGCAAGACCATTGTCAGAAACACAGATCAGGCTGACGTTTTTTATATTGCTGGAGCTCTATTTTGTGATAATCCCTCTCTCATTCTGCGTCATTTAGGGAGGATGCTGTCCTGGAATATCTCAAGATTGCTCAAGACCTGGAGATGTATGGTGTGAACTACTTCAGCATCAAGAACAAGAAAGGCTCAGAGCTATGGCTGGGTGTGGATGCCTTGGGACTCAATATCTATGAGCAGAATGACAGGTATACCTCAGATTTCTCCAAGTTATTTGGATTAGTCTTAAACATAGATGCGATTCCTTACTGCAGAGCAAGGCAGTACCATTTAAATCCCATCTCAGTTATTTTTCTACCTAATGAAGTCCAGCCATATGTTTGTACAGCTTCCTTAGTCCTATATTGACTAGAGTTGTACGATTATTATGGTAGTCACTCGCCAGATGTGAGTATTGAACATTTAAAATGTCATTACAACTGAGATGTGTAATAACTTTAAACAGCATACTACAATTAGAAGAACCACTATGAGAAAAAGATGTGTGCTCATAATCTTTCTGTGCCTGTAAAAGAATTCCTGAGAGAAATCAGCTTAAAGGAGAAAAGGTAGATTTTGTCTTGTGCTTTTAGAGTTTTGAATCTGCAGTTATGTGGTGCAGTTGTTTTTGACCCGTATTGAGGTAGAATTGTGTTGTGGAGAGCACGTAGTTGCTCACCTCCTGGCAGCTGAGAAATAGACAATGAAAGAGGAAGAGACTGGAATCCCAGTATTTCCTTCGAGGGCATGTCCCCAGTAGCCTACTTCCTCCATCCAGGCCCCATTCACAAACATCTGCCACCACTAATAACACCATTATCTAAGAACCCACCATTTAACAAATGATCTTTCGGGAGGCATGTAATAGCTAAATTATGCTGGGTATGACAGTGCATGCCTGCTAACCTAGCATTCAGGAAGTGCAGGCAGGGAGAATCAGGCGTTCATGGCCAGCCTTGGATACATAGTTAATTCAAGGCTGTTAAGACCTCAGTTTAGGATTGCCACTTCTCTGATGAAACACCATGACCAAAAGCAACTTGCCTGGAGGAAAGGGTTTATTTCATTTGCTCTTCCATATTTATCATTAAAAACAGAGAGGGCAGGAACTGAATAAAACAGGGCAGAAACCCAGAGGCAGGAGCTGATGCAAAGGCCATGAAGAAATGCTGCTTACTAGCAAGCATGGCTTGCTCAGCCTGTTTTCGTATAGAACTCAAGGCCACCAGATGCCACCAACCACAATGGGGTGGACCCCTCAATCACTAATTTAAAAAATGCCCTACCACCACCGGATCTTCCAGAGGCATTTTTTTCAGTTGAGGTTCCATCTTTTCAGATGACTGGAGCTGTGTCAAGGTGACCTAAAACCAGCCAGCACAATTGCTGTCCTGGACTATGTGAACCTTGTTTCATCTGCTTCCTCATGTGAAAATAATTCAAACTTCAGCAGTGTAAAATGTACCCATAGTTTTAAATGTTGATATATATGTTCAAATGATAGTATTAGGATCTATAGTGTTAATTAAACCTTAATAATTAGATCATAATATTTCCTTTTTATCCATTTTCCTATAGCTCCTAGGAAATGTATAAATGTGAGCCTTATAAAATTATATTTTATATTATATAATTAAAATTTTTAGACAGTGCTGACCTAAAATCAGTTTTGTGAGGGTTCATAAAGTTCAAGCCTCGCGTTATAATTAAGTGACTTTTGGCCTATAAGTCTTGCTGTACTGTTGTGTTTCTTATTTATTTCCCCTCCCCCCAGTCTGCTCTTGGTGAAATCATGAGATTATTGTTCCATTTGCTGACTGAATCTTAGAGTTCGTTATTTATCTTCCCAAAGTTAATGATGAAGTATAGAAGGTTTTCAGTTAAACAGTGCTGCAGATTCTCCAGAAGGTCTTTACAAGGTATTTGCTTCAACCCCAAATGGGACAAAACAAAGGGCAATAAGTATATTAACAGTAGCCGAGTTGACAGTAGGTCTCTCTCATCAAGGGAGAAGTTTATGTTAGTGGATAGAGTGGGATTGGTGGACGTGAGGCAAGGTGCTAGGTCTGTTTCTTCCTTGCTTTCTTCTTGTCATGGTGTTGTTGACTCCTGTTTCTACAGACTGACTCCTAAGATTGGCTTCCCTTGGAGTGAAATCAGAAATATCTCCTTCAATGATAAGAAATTTGTCATCAAGCCTATTGACAAAAAAGCCCCGGTGAGTGACTCCTCTCTTTGACTCTGCTTGGCAGATTTTTGCCAAGGCTTAGATCATTCTAAGAGCAAACACGTCATTAGGTTCGCCATTTTCTTTTGTGTGTAGCTTGTTCACAACAGAACATTCTGTCAGAGGAAGTTGATGCTGAGAACTGGCCAGGTCATACCTGTTATTCGGTCGCTCTCTATTGTCAAGCCCCCTTTGTGGGTGAGCTGTGCTACAGGAAGTCTTAAGTGCTGCTGCTTTGCAATTATCTCAGCTTCCTAAGTCCCCAAAATGTACTCTTCGTGTACTTGGCTCGTGTTTAATTGTGGAGAGAAAGCAGAGCCAGAAGTTCAAATTCAAAGGTGACATTACAAATTTACCTTGTAAAACTTTCAATAAAAGAAGATTAAAGCATTTACTTTACACATATTTCTTTACCCATGAGTTTTTAAGGCGAAGTTTCATTTTAGCCCAGCCTGGCCTTAAATTAAAGTCACCCTCAGGCTTCAGCCCCTGAGTGCTTGAATTACATCCATGCATCGCCAGATCCTCTAAAATGTGCCTTTCTATTTTTACATTTTATTTGTTCGTTTATTTAGTATGTGACAATAATAATTTTGAAAGAGATCATGAATTTGGGGGAGGCACATGAATAGGGAGGCGTGATGGACATGAAGTGCTAATGTATGTAGTTTTCAATAAAATAAAAAGCCAGGTTAAATCAAAGGCTTTAAAAAACAACTATCAATCAAGACAGTTGATATTTAAGAAATTTAGATACTTGTGTTCTTACAGCTTGCTTTCTTGTAACTAGAACACACTTTTCAGAAATTATAGAAATGGTGTCGACACCCATGGTATACCTGTTGACTAGAGTCCAGGAGGCCTTTTGAGACTCATTTGAGAACTGTAGCTAGACATCTGGGTACAGAGACATGGCATCATCTGCTCCCTTAAGAGGTGATCCAGTTGGGCCAGTTAATCACTCATCCAAGGGAGTACCACTCAGAAAAGTAAATCCACCTTAAGCTAAGGTAAAGAAGTAGTAGAGCAATTATTATCTCGTTAATTAGCTAGTGTACTTTCCCTTCCCCAAGTGCCTACCCCGTGGTTGAGTCTCTGTTAGTTGTCATGAGGTCTGTCGGATGTGCATATCCTACTGTATTCTGATGCAGAAAACCATAGCTCTTCCCTTTTGTTCTCTTCCGAGGTTTGGCCTCCAGTGCTGACCAGAACCTAAGTATGCATTCTCTGGTGCTTTGGGCTTTTTCACACTTTGTATAAAGATCCCTCTGCCATGTGGCCTCTTTCCCACTACCTGGCTGACTTCCATATTGGCTTAATTCAGGGCCATGGCCCTCTTATGCTCCCACCTGCGAATCAATAAGAAATTAATTTCAAAACCTGAAAAAAATACGGTAGCAGAAAAACACACTCCCGATAAAGTATTAGAGGGTGCTATTTTTTTTTTAAGATTTCCTTTTCTATTTTCCATGTTTATTTTGTGTGGAGGGGGTTAAAAAGATATGCATTCCATGATGTATACATGGAGGTAAGAGAACAACTTGCGAGAAATGATTTTCTTTCTTTATGTTGTTTTTGGGCATCAAAAGTCTTATTGTCAGGCTTGGTAGCAGGCTCCCCTTTAGTTCCTGAGCCATCTTGCTGGCCAAGGGCTGCTTTTCATTAACAGAGTTGAAGAAAAATTGGTGTCAAAGATAACAGACTTGGGTTCTAGCCTTGAGTCTGCCACTACCCTGGCAATTGACTCTAGGAAAACCCCTTTCCTTACTCTGATATAGTATTTCCACTGGAGTGCAAACAATTGGGTTATACAATAGATCCAGTACTTTGGGGTTTAGCTTTACAGAAGCCAGAAGGTCACTTCCTCCAAACTTTAAAAATTTTGAAATTTGGTATGCTGTTTCTGGTGTGTGCATGCATGCATTGTGTGCTCAAGGGCATACGTGAGCCCTTTTGTCAGCCCTGAAAAACTCAGCTGCTTTTTTTTCCCTCCAGGACTTTGTGTTCTATGCTCCTCGTCTTCGGATTAATAAGAGGATCTTGGCCCTGTGCATGGGGAATCATGAGCTGTACATGCGTCGGCGTAAGCCTGACACCATTGAGGTTCAGCAGATGAAGGCACAGGCACGGGAAGAAAAGCACCAGAAGCAGATGGAGCGGTAGGTGCCGTAGCGCTGGAATTCATAGTCCCAACTCTATGCTGTGATAAGGAAGTTTCCAAAAGCTTCCTAGACTGCTTAGGGTGTCCCATCAGCCCAGGACCAGGACATATGAACTGTGGAGGGGAGGAAACCCCATGTATTCAATCTCAGCACAGATATTTTTGCTTTTTTGTTTGTTTGTTTGTTTTGTTTTTCCTCTGTAGCTTTTGAGCCTGTCATGGAATTAGCTCTTGTAGACCAGGCTGGCCTCGAACTCACAGAGATCCACCTGCCTCTGCCTCCCGAGTGCTGGGATTAAAGGCGTGTGCCACCATAGCCCATCTTTCTAGTAGTAGGAGACAGATAAAATAGACAAATTGTTTAGCATATGCAATAGGGAAAAGTGCATGCCAAGCATTCTGAGAGGTCTGAGAGTAAAGACAGGTAGAGCCAAGGTCTAAGGATGCTTCCTAGGGGCTGGAGAGATGGCTCAGCAGTTAAGATTGCTTGCTGCTCTTGCAGAAAACCCAGGTTCAGTTCCCAGCACCCACATGGCAGCTTTCAACCATCTGTTACAGGGGATCTGGCACCTTCCAGTTTCTGTGGGCTCTGCGTGCATGTTGTGTACTTATATACACATAGGAAAGCACATACACATAAAATAAAAATTTATAAAGTCTTTAAAACAAAAAATAATGCTTCCTTGAATAAGTAGTGAGGCCAGAAAAAGCAAAGACATATTCTAGATAAGCAACAAAATCTGGGAAAGGGGAACCTAAAGCTAAGGTTTAAGGCAGGCCAAGTTAGCCCTAGCTGTAGACTTGAAGCATAAAACCTAACCTCACCATGCTATAAAGCTGTAAGATAGAGTGCAAGCATTAGTAAACCATTGTACAGATGGAAGGGTTGAGAACAAGAGCAAAGCCATCTGATCTAGGTGGTTACTTGCAGTACCAGCAGTCCCGTTTAGGGCTCATGAATTTAAGGTAGATGGACTGAGCATGGAACTCTGTGTGGGGCTGCGATGTGATGGCTAGATTATGGAGGAAAGTGAGAGTGGTCCTTGATCACAAGCTTCGCCTTACATAGAGAAGATAGGAGCTAACAGACTCAGGTTGCCGAACTCCTCGAGGCTCCTTGCTCCTTGCTGTCCTGTAAGCATCCCTCCTTCTCTTTTCTAGTGCTCTGCTGGAAAATGAGAAGAAGAAGCGTGAGTTGGCAGAAAAAGAGAAGGAGAAGATTGAACGGGAGAAGGAAGAGCTGATGGAGAAGCTGAAGCAGATCGAGGAGCAGACCAAGAAGGCTCAACAAGGTAAGGCTTAGCCTCACTGTGGAGGCCAAGTTTCCTCAGAACCTCACCCCGAGCTGCAGAATAAGACTTCGTAATCCAGGTGTGGCCACAGAGTAGATAAGGAATTTGTCGAGAAAAATTGTTGGAACCACTGGGCCTTGAAGTGCAAAGTTTGCAGCAAGCACATTAGTGTGTCATCTTCATCTGTGAGCCCTCTATCAATTTCCTCCTTTTCTACCAGAACTGGAAGAACAGACCCGCAGGGCCCTAGAACTTGAGCAGGAACGGAAGCGTGCCCAGAGTGAGGCTGAAAAACTGGCCAGGGAGCGTCAAGAAGCTGAAGAAGCCAAGGAGGCCCTGTTGCAGGCTTCTAAGGACCAGAAGAAGACCCAGGAACAGTTGGTAAAGTGGCTTCTTTGGCTGGGGCTGTGTGCTTGCAGTTTTCTTGCTTGTCCCCCTACTGGTTTATAAATTTCTTTGCCTGTGTAGCTGTGTTCTTCTAGCTCATTTGCATCCCAAAGGTCTCTAAGCATTCATTCAAAAGCAAGCTGAAGTATCATTAGTATGGTCCACAGTCTCCCACAGCCCTTGGGTTTCATTTGTTTTCTTAGATAGAGATCTGATCCTGTAACCTAAGAAAGGAAAAGGAAGAAGACCTGTCATGAGTTGCTTTTGCCGTGTTTCCTCATTTCTTGCTTTCTTCTGTTTGTTTCTTCAGTAGCCCTGTGCAATTAAACCCCATAGAGAATAATGTGACTAGATAAGGAATTTGGGAGTCATGGAGGCTGAGAGACTTGTCAGAGGACATTGCTGTGTGTCATGAAGGTTTTCCAACCCTTCCAGTCTCCTTTGAAAGATTCCCTCCCTGACATCATATATAAAACACGGGTTCTGTGACTTATCTAGGGCCAAATTTCCTTAAGATAGCCCCTTCCTTTCTGTAGTATTGATGAGTTAGTATCTCTCAGGAAAAAGATGTCATGAGAAATTTGCTCAAGGGATATGGGCTTGTATAAACTCTTCCCCACTGCATAAATTGCCTTATGATATTAATAATTCATTTATTTGTTCTGGTAGCAGCAGTCTTGGTGGACCCCTGAGATAGCAGTGAAACATTTGCTACTTGAAGCAGTGACTTCCAAGCTTTGCTGAGGGCCACTGCATTTGACATTTGACAACATTAAGAGAAGAGGGGCAGAGATGACCAATTGTCTGCCTTAAGGAGGCCTGTAGTCTAGGAGGGGAACTGTGACTTATGAAGGGGTCAAGAGTGGAGTAATTTGGTTTCAGGCGTCCCTAGGGCGGTAAGAAATGGAGTAGCCAATTGCGTACCAGTTCCACAGAGGAACTGGGGTTACAGGCTTCTGTCTGGATCCTGAAAAGCCATAGGTCAAGCCCTTACAGGCTTCTAATATGCCTATAGGCTGCAGAAATGGCAGAGCTGACATCACGGATCTCGCAGTTGGAAATGGCCCGAAAGAAGAAGGAGAGCGAGGCTGTGGAGTGGCAGCAAAAGGTAAGATACAGAATCCAGAGTGAAACATTGTGGGAAAGAGTATGCTGTGTGTATATTCCAGTCCTTGCCTTTCTTAGATTTAGACTCCCCGCTTTTTAGACAAACACCATTTTTTCAGCCCTTATGGGAAAAGGTATTCGAAGCTTTCTCAAATACTTTAGAATTCCCCAATACCCATGGGAAGTTGATACTATCACTCTTATTTTCAATTTAAAAAAACTTCAGAATCAAACCAATAAAGTCATTGGTCTTAATTGGTCTCTTACTAGACTTGTCTTCCTAGGTATGATTAGGTTAGCAGAAGTTACCCGATCTGACTGCTGCTCCTTCTTTTTCTGTCACTGGCCAGGCCCAGATGGTACAGGAGGACTTGGAGAAGACCCGTGCTGAGCTGAAGACGGCCATGAGTACCCCTCATGTAGCTGAGCCTGCTGAGAATGACCAGGATGAGCAGGATGAGAATGGGGCAGAGGCCAGTGCTGAGCTGCGGGCTGATGCTATGGCCAAGGACCGCAGTGAAGAGGAGCGCACCACTGAGGCAGAGAAGAACGAGCGTGTGCAGAAGCATCTTAAGGTATCCAGGCTGTGCCAAAAGGTCAAGGAGACTATGTGATGACCTTTGCTAGAGCTAGGGTATACATGCTGTGGTGATGTCCGTGCTGAATAGGAGGCTGGGACAATAGAAACCTAAAGGGGAGACACTCACTAGGCATACCCTAGAATGCCTCATTTAGCTCTCTCCTACTTCCTACTTCTCTCTGTTCAGAAAACACCTGGCTAACCAAATTACTACTTGAATATTCGGAGTATTATTCTGATTGTTCTACTCTCAAGAGATAGCCACCATTAATTCATTCTCCGCTGTGTGTGTGTGGTGCAGGCTCGTGTATGCGCATGCACATGTGGATCATAAGGCTAGGAAAGAGGAGATAAAATAACAAAGGAGAGAAATCTGATCTAAGGCGTGGAATTGGGATAAGAAGCCATTGACCCTTGACTCCTCTTGCATCCTCACAGGCCCTTACTTCAGAGCTGGCCAATGCCCGAGACGAGTCCAAGAAGACTGCCAATGACATGATCCATGCTGAGAACATGCGGCTGGGACGAGACAAATACAAGACCCTGCGCCAGATCCGGCAGGGCAATACCAAACAGCGTATTGATGAGTTTGAGTCCATGTAGTGGGCATTCAGCCTTTAGGGACCCCTCCTCCTCCTTCCTTGTCCCCACACTCCTCTAGTTTTGCCTAACTAACACTGTGCTGGAGCCACTAACTAGAAAAGCCTTGGAGCCATGCCAAGCATTCAGTATAGCCATGGGACCAAATTTAGCCCTTCAGTCCCCCGACTCAGATCCCTGGGCAAACATATGGCCCACTGTGGTGCCAATGGAATCTCCTTCTTTTCTGTCACATTCAGCCTAGCTTTCTAGAGTAGGTCCTGTTTCCCCAGCTCACAGGCTCATTCCTTTTGATTTGGCAAGCACTCCCCACTTACTGTCTTCCTCTAGGACTCAAGTGTAAAATAGGCTGATAGCTAGCTCTCATCCCTTGACTTTTTTCCAAGTCTTGTGATTTGCAGAGTTAGAATATTGTGTGGTTTAGGGACAGAAGTACGGCCTTGGCTCTGTCTATTAGCATATCAGCTGACGAAGGATTTGGCCTCTTCCTGTCCATCCCTTTTCGAGTCATTTAGGCTTAGTAACAGTTGGAGGGTAAAGAGATATTTAGTCATTCTTATTTCCTCTACCTCCCGTGTTGGGCCTATTACAAATTCAGTCCCAATAAGCCTCGTCCCTGTGCTCGGGGACTCAGTTTCTAATCAAGGAGGGATAAAGGGATGACGGAAACAGTGCGTTCAAGAGAGCACACTAACAACCTAGAAAGCCTCTTGCCACTGCACATCTTTAGAACCTTTTTTCTATCAAGTTAGGTCTATGGGTAGGGCTACCCCCATGTTAGTCCATGTTCCTGGTTCCATCTCTGAATCTGTCCCTGTCCTCTCCAGTCTCTAGTTCTCTTCCAGCTAGGACAGAGAGGACGAGCACCCCCAAACCTAGCCAGTTACATCTAAGGCTCTTGTCACAAAGGGAGACATGGTTATTCCTGGCTTAAGTATTTTCTCTGACAGGAGTTCTAGACTCCTCCCACCCAGAGCTGATTGGACCACTGTTCCTGCTTCACAGATAGACATTATGACAAGTAAGAGTAGCTCTTCTTTTTCAGTCACCCAGTAGTCCTTCCCCAGCTTACCCAGTCCCGAGTGGTGAGTGGGTCCTGCTTCTGACAAATCTCTAACCCAGGTCGCATCACTAGCTGTGCTGTCCCTTGGAGCTACATCCAGAAAGCCGCTGGGTGTTCTGGCCTTGTCCCTTCACAGTCCCACACCCTTCCCTCCATTTTGGAGAAGCTGCTTCCTCTTTTTGTCACATTGTGCTCTTCTAATTTTTTACCAGTATTATATATTCTAGGGATAGCTAACTCGATATTGATTTCTACTTTTTTTTTTTTTTTTTGGCTAATGCACTATTAGAGATGCTAGTCTTGGAGTGGGATCATTTTAGCTTCATTATTTTGACTACCCCTACCCCATATCTGGGAAGTATATACTGTATTAGAAAATATTTTGCCAAAACCAATATGTATGAAGACTTCAGTATTAGTGGTTTACCTGTCACTATAGGTCATACAATCCATTTAAAATATACTTAATATTTGGTTTTATTGTTTCTATTTGCCTTTTCCCCAGGGTTGAGTCCCTCCATTCAGTATCCCGAGCCCAAAGCCTCCCTCAGCCCATGCCCCTTACTTAACCTTGGGTAATCTTGTATGCGTTGCTGTGAATTATATTGACACTCAGTGAGCTGCCCTATATTGGCTAAAGTCAAACCTGGAATTGTGGGGGCAATCTAGCTGCATTAAGGGCAATAACCCACCCCTACAGAGACTTGGGGGGTTAGATTTATATTCAGGTTTTTTTTGTGTATTTTTGTTTTTTAAATAATTGTTTTGGAGGGGTTTGTGCTCAATCTGTGTTCTATTTCAGTGCCAATAAAATTTAGGAAGACTTCACTATGACTCGGTCTTTCTTTCTGCGTATTTCATTGTAATTTCTTGTCCATAGGCTACCTTTCTATCTTTTAGCACATTTTACCTTGACTTAAGTTCTAGTGAAAGTAGGAATATAGTTATCTTTATTTTAATAGGAAGGACTGGCTTTAAACACCACTAAATCAAGAGCAAGCAGATTCAGTCCTGAGGTTACAGGTGTGATGGAGCTGACGGATCTGTTCCTTTTTTGCTACTTCCTGACATGTTTTGCCAGTATGGGTTGGAGAAACAGCTCATCTGTTGAAGGCTCACAACCCAGTTGTTTGGTGTGGCTACGGGACCTGCATTAATCACGAGATACTCCTAGTCTTTCTTGGCAGTGGAGCGTGGTGCTTTGGGGCTAGGTAACCTAGGCTGGCCTTAACTTCAAGATCCTCTTGCTTTTGCCGCCTCTGTGCTGACGTTCCAGGAATTTGCTATCAAGTGTGGTTAGGCTCCTTATCTCTGGCACACTCCTGGGAGGGTCAGCCCCTGTTCTGCCTCCTTGTCTGGAAGATTTCTGACTCATTTTGCTCCCCACCACCCTTCCTTTACTGCACTGCTAACGAAAGACAGGGAAACTCCCTTGGGTCTTGTTAGAGAAGGCAGTGGAGGATGTTGACTGAAGTGGGTGGTACTTGGAGTTTATAAAGCGTGTAAATTTTGTAGCTTAGAAGTGGTTGTCTTCGTGTAGATGAAGAAATTGAGATCCAGACAACAATGGTCTAGACTTTCTTGGACCTGACATTCCCGCTTGTTCCCCTCTTGGGATGCAAAGATTTGGAAGGAAAGCTAATTTACTACACCTACATTGTGAATTCTCTCAACAATCCTTTGTCAGCATGTCTGCTAAATGTAATCCTTCAGAGACCCAGTTTTCAAATATTAGAAAACTTTTAGCTTTTGAGGCAAAGTATCAGTTACGTATGGCGTTTGAGGCCAGCCTGGGCTTATCGACACTGTCTCAAAATATAAAATAAATAAACAAAAATCCTCAGACCCAAAGGAACCAGGCCCAGTGGCACAGATTCATAATCCTACCTACTCAGAAGACATGGGCTAAAAGATCACACACTCTGAGGTCCGGGGGCCAGAATGAGTTCTTGGCTATCCTTGACTATTAAGAGCTCTTTTTTTTTTAAAGAAAGAAAGAAGTACTTGAGGAAAGGGATGAATGCAGACAAGGGTGTCAAAGTGTACAGGAGGAGAGAAATGAATGAAAAAGTATAGTGATAATACAAATGCCACAACGAAATCCGTTTCTTTGTATGTTTATCACAAAGCACTAATAAAGAAAACTCAAAGGGCACGAAGAGGGCTAAGGATGTATGTAGTTCAGTGGTAGAACACTTTCCTAGCACGCATGAGGCCATAGTTCAACCTCTAGGGCTCAAGAAATGAGCAATAGACATTGAAACACCTACATGAGTGTGGTTAGGCTAAGGGTTTTGAGATAGATTAGAGATGATGCTGTAATATCCAGATCATTCTAGCATGATCTCAAGACCTCTTAAAAGATGGAGAGGATGAGCTAAAAGAAGACACCACCGTGTTGCTGGCTTTGAAGGTGGAGCAGGACACAAGGAATTTCAATGACCTCTACAAACTGTGCCCCCCCCCACCGCCAAACTAAGACAAAACAATGCATTGAGGGTTTTGTTTGTTTTGATTCATTTGTTTGAGACAGGCTTTCAGACCGCACGTCAGATTATCCTGGAACTGACTATATAGACCAGGCTGGCCTCAAATTTGTGGCGATTCTGCCCTTACCTCCCACGTCCAACTACTACAGACGGGCGGAATGTTAGTTATCAGGTTTGCATTTGTGCTCATCCAAATGACTATGTCACACTGCCTTGTCACTCTAGGAATGACACTATTGCAGAAATAAAGAATAGATTAGTGCTTTCCAGTAGTTAAGAATCAAGGTACAGAAGCTGACCATGGGGCTACGGCACTGGAAGAACAGTGCTGGAGGAGGTCAGCCTTTGTTGTTGCACAATGAATTGCAGACTTTTCCTAGACAAACGAGCAAACCAAGAAAAATTAGCTAAATGAATAGAAAAAAGGAACAGGGTTGAAGGTATGCAGAGTAGAGCTTGTATGTTGTGTTCTATATCATAACTGTCTCTCTTATTATCTTGGCAGTGATGCATGATGATGTGTAGGATGCCACCCCCAGACCTGAGTGAAGTGTCTTTGTAGTGTCTTCATTGTTTCTTTTAAAAAGATATTATATTTTATGTCTATAAATACCTTGTCTGCATGCATATTTGTGTGCATGCCTGCTGTCCTTACCTTAGAGAGCAGAACTGTGTGACAAATCCCTTGGAATTGAAGTTGCAGACAGGCGTGAGCAGCCATGTAGGTGCTGAGGTCTGAACCTGCATCCCACAAGAACAACAAGTATTCTAAACCTGCTGAGCCTTCCCCAGCCGCTCTTTATTATTTCTTACAACTGCGTATGAGTCTTTGATGTGACTTGGTTTAGAGAAATGAGTGGGAAGGGGGAGTTAGTGGGAAAGTGAGTAAGAGAAAAAAATATCACAATGCAACTTGTTATTTTGTACACTGTAGGTAAACAGTAGCTGCTTGTAAATGCCAAATGCCACGGCAATACTATGTAAAACGATGCTTATCGGGAGACATCTCCAACGAGTTAAAGTGAATAAACAATTTCCAGCATATTTATATGCTACATTACTCAGGAACATAAGTAAATACACTACTGAAACATATAAATGGCACTCACAGATATTCTGTTGTATAAAACAAGGAAATCATAAAAGAATATATGTAGCATAATTCTTTTTTGATTTAAGAATCAAGCTTTATTTTAAAAGTACGGCACATAAAAATTTTATTAGTGGTAAAATCCTGGTAATCCAGGTAAAACCCTGCAGCAATATTAGAGCATGTGGCTCCTTTGCATTTACCATCAGAAGACAAATCCAGCATGGGTAATAAACACAGCGCAGAAATCCAACATTCAATACAATCCCAACAATGAGTCATTTCATGCAAAAATAGGTCAGGACTCTAAGTCAGCAGGCGCGCTCTTGCTGTGTCTAATTAAAATTTTTGAAGCAGGAAGTGTAGTTAATGCTTGAAGTTTTAATTTCAACAAGAAATTCTGAAAATGCCTCAGCATCCCCAAGTGAAGGAAGGGAGCCAAGCTCATTGTCTACTTCTAAGAGAAACGGAGCTTGTTCCAAGCAGAGAGCAAGCTAGCTGTGCCTAAGAGGAAATGCTGCTATCTGTCCTTAGAAAGTGCCATCTGGAAGATAGGAAAGTGGGAGCCATGATGTCATTCCTCCATCTGTCCTCGTGCCCATAAGCATACTTTAATCAACTGTCAATGACTTGATACTCATATTTTTAATGGTAAGTGGGGGTGTAGCAGTAACAGAAAGAAATGTCACTGATAGACTTCTGAAATGGCAGCATGAGATTCCATTGAGTTCTAGAAAGAAATGACCGTACATAAACAAAAATAGGGGGTGGGGAGAATTCCACATCTGCTCCCCATCAGCAAACAGCCAAAGCACAGGACACCAGAGAGGCCAAGTTGGCTGACATGCCCAAGAATTTAAAAATTCTTACATCTGGGTGCCTGGCTCGACCAAACTTGAAATATACATCACCTGAAGCCCAGGAAATTCATGTGCCTGGGAAAACATTTCAAGAGGGAGCCTGATTTTAATGACCCCTGTTTCTCTAAGACATAGTCCTGTGCAAATCCTTCATTTCCAGTTTATGCATGCTGTCTTGATTAGGATTAGCAGAAAGAGCTGTTATCGTCACAGCCGGAAGGCACTGCTCAAGCCTGCAGGCTTAAGCCATGTCCATCACTACTCCATCCTTTCCCAGGAGTCCTTCCTACATGGCACCGGTTTGGGGAACACTTAGCCATGTGCCCCACAGTGCCCTGCATCCGTGGCCACCAAATACAGCAGGCCACTTGCTAGCTCTCAGCTCTCACTATTGTTTCACCAGCACTTAAAGAATCTGAATGCTGGCAACCCCACTGCCTGCTGCTAACCAGGGAGAAAATGACTCCCCAGTAGCTGCCATTCTCTTAGAATTCTATTTCTATGGTGTTCTAGAGCAGGTGTGGTTCCGTGGAGCTAGACTGGAGAAAGCTGACTGGAAAGAAGCATTGAGGAACAAAACACCAGGATGGTGAATGCAAAGAAATCTTTTTAAAGAAGGGGTCTTTCACCATGGTGGATTTTTCAGGCCTGACAGGAAGAAGGGGTCTAGCACTTCTGTTGGTAGTCACTAGGAAGACAAAGGAGTTATACTATATTATCCTTGCTATATCCCTCCAGAAGAGCGTAGCTCCAGGAACCTGGTTCCTGAATTTGAACCTTAGTTCTGCTTGCCTAATCCCCTGCAAGTGCTATAAGTACTTGCTGTACTGGGCTTTGTATCTACAAAGAAATAATATCTGTATGCTTCAGAGGTTTGTGGATTATTAAATAAATCGTTACGTGTGAGGACAGGAAGATGTCTTTCACTGAAAATGTTGGAAAATACTATCTTTTTTAACTTAGTTTTTATTTATTTATTTATTAAAAATTTCCACCTCCTCCGCTCCTCCCATTTCCCTCCCCTCCCCCTTCTCCTCCCCCTTCCTCTCCAGTCCAAAGAGCAGTCAGGGTTCCCTGACCTGTGGGAAGTCCAATGTCCTCCCCCTCCATCCAGGTCCAGGAAGGTGAGCATCCAAACAGACTAGGTTCCCACAAAGCCAGTTCATGCAGTAGGATCAAAACCCAGTGCCATTGTCCTTGGCTTCTCAGTCAGCACTCATTGTCCGCCACAATCAGAGAGTCTGGTTTGATCACATGCTCGTTCAGTCCCAGTCCCTGGCCTTGGTGAGCTCCCAATAGATCAGCCCCATCATCTCAGTGGGTGGGCACACCCCTCGCGGTCCTGACTTCCTTGGTCATGTTCTCCCTCCTTCTGCTCCTCATTTGGAC